AACTATCTATACCCACTACCACCATCTCCAAACAGACAGGCATACTCACACAATTGCCGAGACACTCTTTTCAAACCATGCTAAATCTTTCGGCCTAACAATGAAAGCTGGACCTAATCTTATAACCTCCATCCAATCAGAAGGCTGGAAACTGAAGAGTGGAATTGATTGGCCGGTGGCCACAGGGGCCAGTTAGGGGAAAGAGAACAAGAGGAGACAAGCATTGTTGATTGATTACCATGAAAGACACTTTTGTTACTGACTTGAAGGTAGGACACTGTGCTTGCATCGAGAGGAAACACTAGCAGGCCTAAAATAGGTCACCAGTGCGCTAACGTGCATACAAAATCCTTTACCAAGATAGTGAGGTATGCACAAGACAGTCCCACCACCCCTTGTTAAAAAAGTAAGGTCCAGAGATCATTAGCTGTGAGCTACGTTGATTAGTTGTAGTGCAAAGGTTAGCAGTCAGTACAGCATGTTGACGGATGAAAGTGTTACTGCTGGGAAAGACACAGTGAGTCAAATAAGTCTTGGCTGTGAGGTTCTGAAAACAAAATAAGTGCTTTATGCTCACTCAACAATGCTTTTATTTATAATTTTCCTTCAAAAATGGCTACATCAGCTAACAACCATCTTATCTTTCTTCATTTGAAGGTTATGCAAACTGCAGATTTTGTTCGCTCTGTTGGCAGCTTTTCCAATCCACCGAAAAAAGTATCCGCACACACTAAGGGCGTACTAACAGGGATTTGAATCGCAGCCCAGCATGATAAAGTTGAAACACATTCAACTCCATTGTCAAGTAAAAAACGATTTGATGGTGCAGTAATCTTCTTCAGTGCCCCGGGTTTGGAAATAAGTGAATGTTTGGTCATGATACTATAAAACTCCACGGGCTCTTGGACTTATTTTATTGATGTGCTTGGTTAACTGTTATTAAAACATGATTTCATATCATCTTATTGAATTAGATTCTACGGACTCACTGCTGTTTCTGGAATTTTATCTTCCACCCTACAGGCGCAGAACAATACTGTTCCTGATTCCCATCCAAGTACACCACCAGCTGTTTGCAAAACACACATGCACGCACTTTCCCGGTCCCCTTGTTTGTACTGCCACATACAGTTTGTTTACTTCGTCTTAGTCTCTCCACAATCCAGCTGCAGGATGATCTATATGGTGTCTTCACAATCCACATATATCTTGATATAGTACAGAAAACAGTCACTTTAAAATCATTTGTATTGGCCTGCATTTACAGTCTATTCACATGAGGAAAAGCATTAATGCGTGACGCAGATCAAATAGCAAATGCAGGAACACCCTCCAAGAGAGCCACTGATCCCACATCCTGTTCACAATGCTACAGGCTTTTGAATCTGAATGTGACCCTTCTAGGGAGTTTGCTCCAAAGATGAAGGCCCTCACTGTGTCAGTGGCACTGATAGAAAGAGACAGACATGCAGCGTGCCTCTTTTCACAGCCAACATACACATTAGCATAACTCCCTTGGCGCGGATAAACCACCTAGCCACCTGTAGTTGCACAACTCAGTAACCTCACTTCTCCCATGCTGGTGCCCTTTCCCCCCTCAACTTCATTCATATTCTCCTCCTGCATCTCTCACGTTTATAGTTATGCATGTGAATGTTTGCGCTTGTAAGTTTTCTCACTGCTGATGCCAGCCAAAGCTGCTGCCAGACTGTTTTGAGCTAATGAAGTGAGTGTGCTTGAATTGCAAGCGCGCATCCTTTGTTACACGTAGAGCAATCTCCAGGGAGCCCGTAGAGTCTGTCTCTCACAAGTAAATGGAAGTGGGCTAAAGAGTTTAGAAATCCATCACAAAAGCAACATGAGTAAGAGGATGGCAGTGTCTTCTGGGTGTGTTTCCAACTAAAGAATCGTGTGCATATTCGAGAGATCAATATAAAAATGCAGCTGTAGAAACTTGCCACAGGCTGCTCTCTCTTTCTTTCCTGTTAAGCTCTTCTGGAGGAGGGCTTTTGGTGAAAATAAGGGGCAGAAGGAGTGTCCTGAGGGCCAGTGGGAGCCTCCCCCTGGGGTTGTGATTGGCTGGAGCTGTTCTGAGTGAGTCCAGGGGAGGCCAGTAGGAAGGTGAATGGTCTGGACGCCTGCTAGGGGGCAGGCAGCAGACGAGAGCAGCTACCACTGCCTCTTAAAACCTAGGTACTCCTCATTACAGACTGATAGACAGAGAGCAGGAGAGAGCTGGAGGCAGTTCTAGGAGAGCACCAGGGAAAGAAAGTGAGAAACTGTGAACAGGGAAAGTTAGGAAAAGTAAGAAGTCCTACTTGTAAGCTCACTCTTCCCTGACTGCTGCCTCCCCACTCCACTACCTGAGGCACATACACACACACACACAGGGAGGTGTTTCAGGGAGGCTTAGAGGGTCGACTCTCCAGGGAAGAAGGGAATTAAACACTTTTGTTTTCAATCCGCTGCGTTCATACTCAGGAGAAAAAAAGGGATTACAGCTTTCACGCCTGCCCCCCCTTGTTTCTCTCTTCTCCTTGCATTTTGTCTTCACTGAGTTACTTTGGAGACTTTGGATATAACCTTCTTGAATTGTTGGTCTGAACTCGTAGAGGCATGGCAAACGGACAAAAGAGCCCCAGGTGGGCATTAACCCAGGGCTCCTTCAGCTTGGCACTGGGCCTGTCGCCCTTCTCCCTCCTCCTCCTCCTTACCGTCTCGGCCGCAGATGAGTATGACTACTACAGCTGGCAGTCGGACAACTTCCACAATGGCCGCTTCTACACCAAGCAGCCCCAGTGTCTGGACATACCAGCTGACCTGCGCCTGTGCCACAATGTGGGCTACAAGAAGATGAGGCTGCCCAACCTCCTGGACCATGAGACCATGCCCGAAGTTAAGCAGCAGGCAGGCAGTTGGGTGCCCCTCCTGGCTAAACGGTGCCATGCTGATACGCAGGTCTTCCTGTGCTCACTGTTTGCACCAGTGTGCCTAGACAGGCCCATCTACCCTTGCCGCTCACTGTGCGAGGCTGTCAGGGACAGCTGTGCTCCGGTGATGGAGACCTACGGCTTTCCCTGGCCGGAGATGCTGACCTGCGACAAGTTCCCCATTGATAACGACCTGTGCATCCCCATGCAGTTCACCGGGAACCATGCGACCCAGCCACCAGGTAGGCCACCTTCATTCATGCATGCTTATGCAAAATACAGTGAAGAGAAATGTCAATGAAATCATAACCAATTTTAATTTGCATAACTACTGAAGAGGCTACTGGTTAAAATTACAGCTTTTCCAGCAGCAAAAAGATAATCTGGTGATTTCCACAAAATGTAAATATCTCTTTAAAAAGATTTAATAATTCAATAAATACTCATTTAATAAATCTTTGAGATTTTTTAAAATAAAAAGCAGTGTTTAAATATTCTGTCCTGGTATATTTGATAAGATCTAGTTGAAAACAAGAGATATATGAATGCGCATATGTTTTAAATTCGACAGAAGGAAAAGTTGCCCCGAAAAATATGTTGTGTTTTGCAGACGCAGGCGCTGAGATGAAAAACTCAGCAGAAAGTAAACAAGGAGATAAAGTTCTGAATTTTTCATTGTTTTCATAATATCACTTTGGCAAATGATCGTTCAAGTCCTTGCAATCGGATACACTGAGAGTCTGTAAACTGTGAGGATGAGAGAATCAGATGGCTTCCATACATTTCCACAATGACAGACAAGAGATTAAGTGGAAAACTAGCCAAAGGAGGTCAGCGAAAGAGACGGGAGCAGGAAGATGCTGCAGGGGAAAGTCCTAAGTGGACAGTTGAGGATGGCTCTGGCCATCTACATATGCCTCAGGGAGGCACGGAGACAGACCAAGAGAGCCAGGAGACTTGGAGACTCCAGCAGCCAGATCGCGCATTGAGTTAAGATAGATGGACTGTGGGGGTATTAACTGAAAGTTACACAGAGGCACATGCATGGACACACACCCTTATCAGTAGTCATCCATCTACAGCGAAACAGTCAAAGAGTGAATGAATTATGTTTTATTTCATGGTTTGCACAGAGTCAAATTACTAAATTAACCTTAGCTGGATGAAACAAAGGACAAATCTTTATCAAGGGTTTCTGAGAGTGATTTGATTCACAAAAATAGGAGAATATATTATTCTTCACAAGCAATGAGTAAGAGTATCAATTGTGAATAGTGGGACTGAGTGGGAACTAAATCCAAAGAGGTGTGCAAATGCCTGTGTGTATGTGTGTGTGTGCATGTGTGTGAGAAGCACAACTACTTAAGCAGCCTCTTCACAAAAGCAGTCAGCGCTGAGAGGGAGAGAGAGGGAGTTGATGAGAGTCTTTAGACAGTGGAGGGGGACAGTCCCCACTGTGTCCCAGTCTGCTCAGCCATTGTTGGGTCTGGCAGCCAGCAGGCCAATTAGCTAGAAGGCCAATTACTGAGTTCCCACTAATTAGTCGACATGACAGGACAAGAGACGCAGGCAGAGAATGGGAATCGCTAAAGTCTGATTGTCCCTGAGAGAGCAGAATGAAGAGGAGTGAAAGAAGAGGGAAGCAGGAGAGTAAAGACAGGCACACAGCGAATAAAAGAGGAGAAAAGCTGCTTCCTGCAGCATAAGAAGTGTTTGCCTCTGCTTTCAATGAGAACCTGAAGAAAACGGTTTAGATCCGGTTTAGAAAACGGTGCAGATCTCTTAACTATTCCTAGAATTAGATCTAAGTGTGCTGAAGGTGCTTTCAGTTACTGTGGTTGTGTGTGGGTTGGTGGTGGGGGCAGGTGCCTGTTGAGCCAAAGTCAATTAAAACTGTGTCCAAAATCAAAAACCCTCTTTAAATTTTTATTTTATTTTTTATTTTTACAAACTAAGCCTTAATTTATCTTTTATGTTAAGGACACTGAGTTTGTACGCGCTGAAAAATGCTATATAAATAAAATGGTCATTGCCATATTGCTCACATTACTTTACAATTTGCTTTCAACCGTTTAATCTCATTTTTCATCTTCTTTCGTTTATGGTGTAAAGGTCTTTTTTTCACTTGAAATGTCCTTTCTGTTACTTGAGACGTTCTTTGACAGATAAACACATTTCCTAAAGCACTGAAAACCAATCATTACAAAAACAATGTCAGTCAGTTGTGTGACATATCTTTCCTTTTTATCAATAATGGTCACAGCATACTGACATCTAAGTATCTAATCTGATTTGCAAAAAGCAGTGGGAAAAAGACCAGTGGAAGATTCTTGGGTGAATTAATGCAGTTCTGACTTTTTCCATTAGGGAAAATGGCTGTTCTGTTTTTGTAGGACTCGTATCAAGTATGTGACATTTTGGTTTGCGGAGTTATAATTCATTCTTCTACATGCACTTTGAGAAGGAGGCGGCTTGACGTTCATCTGCCACCTCCCCAAACAGCCAACTGTTTGTTGATCCCATCTATTCAAATAATGATCAGAGGAGGATAGATTACAGAGGGTCCTGAAGAATCAGTGGAAATAAGGATTTTTAGTGTTAGGAAATTTTACATACAAAGAACATAAGAAAAAATATGCTGATTTTAATTTTTAAAGAATAAAATGACACTCAAAAACAAAAATGAAATAACGGTAAAGTTAAATTTGGGTGTGTGCTTTTTTAGGCGTGTGCATGTGCATGTATTCTTGTGAGTGTTTCACACTGAGAGTGAACCCATATCACTTCTAGCCCGGAGGCTCAGCCACTGACATTTCGCTAAGAACCAGAGATTCTCAGATGTGCCGATGAGGCCATCCCGAGGACAAGCTTTTGGCTTCTAATTCCGCACCGATGCACACCCGCACACACACACACACACACACACACACAGACACACACACACACACACATGAAAACACAGCCAGCAATAATAAAAAGGAATTTCAGCTAAGAGCTCTTAGAAGTGAGTTTCCCGGGAAGCTTCTATGTCACTGGAGGACACTGACGATTTTCTTTACACGGGATCGTATGAAGAATCTTGTGGTAATCAAGGTGAATCTTTGGGAGTTGGATCAATCACAAGAATTAGTATAGCTTTACTCGCTGATCTCCGAGTCCGGGAGGCCCCGATGCTATCTGAGCTATTCTGCAATTACATGATATAGCACGGTTCGAGGACTCTTGTGGAAACTAACAGTACAGAGCAAGATTCACTTTCCACCTCTGTGTCACAGCCAAAACTGGCAGAAACTCACCACCACCTGAGCTCAGGTTTTGTGCTGGCACTTGTGCCTTTACGTGCATGTGTGTGTGTGTGTGTGTGTGTGTGTGTGTGTGTGTGTGTGTG